TGAATTGTTCCTTTAAGTTGTGGCATTTGGCCAGAAGTAGTTCTGAAGCTTTTGTTTATTTTCATTAGAATAGCAGTGTGTGATAAATTGGTTTTTGGAATATTTTGTGCCTTGGTGTGAATTTACTTCCCTCTTAATAAAGAAAAGCTAGTTTCCTTTTTTATTGTCAGAGCCAACCAGCAGGGCTGTTAGCAGAGGACATTTAATATGTTTGTTTTTAATTATTGTACTTTGTTTTTTTTTTTTAATCTTTTGAAGAGCGCTTGCTTGGGTGTATTGTTTAAAGGCAGACGGTGTGTTTGTTGGGGTGCAGTCTGTTGTGCGATAGTTAACAGAGTGTGAAGGGTGAGCAGTATATGCAAGTTACAAAACAGCCCAATCCATATTCCAGAGCAGCAGTTGGTCACCCAATCCTTTTACAAGTGACGTGAGGAGGGAGGTGGGATGCTGTGAAGAGCATGCAGATTTTCCTGACGCTACACAGCTCTGGGCAGCTGTTGCCATGATGTTTGGTTTGGCTTGGTTTTGTTTTGGTGTTAGATGGTGCTCAGTAGGGAAAGTGTTACCTACTTAATTTCCCTGATCTGTTTTTACTCATGCTGCTCAGGAACAGTTTGACAGCTTTGATTAACACTGGGCAGTCAGAACAACACTCACTGGCTTGATGTTGCTTTATTTTAGCTGTCAGCATTTAGAGGATAGTTTAATTACCCAAAGTGGGACCAACTCATGAATGCCTGCTGCATGTGTCTGCACACTGTTTGAGGGTTTTGACAGAAACAATTTTTCCACTGAGATGGACGTAGCTTGGCTCAACCCAGATTTTTTTTATTTTCAAACCTGTAGTCTTTAGCCACACCTGATGCTGACAAGTGACATCACCTGAGGACATTTATCCAACCTTAACTAACTTTACACAACTCCATCTGGAGTTACAAAAGGATCTAAATCAATATTTCTTTCTTAAAACTTTACAGTTATCCAACTCAACTGCTGGATCCCCAAGCAGTGACAGTTAATCCTAAGGGGGACATGAATATGTAAAGTAAATTTCATGGCAATCATTCCAATAATTGACCCTTCCTAAGTCCTCCCCCTTTTCGCTCTTTAGTCCAATAACAGTTGAGCAAACTTGGAAAGTGGTCGGCCGGATGTTGAAGAGAAACCTAAATTTCGTAAATGGTTAAAAGATGCGTCTTGGGGACTGTCACAATCTTCATGGACACATTATATTGTAAATAGTCAAGTCTTAAGTTCACTAATGTTAGCAAAAGGCTAGAGATGCATGATAATATCGACATGTCGGCTAATACAGGCTTTAAAATGAAATGTAGGAATCGGCCAACATGCTTTTTCTTGTTTTGCACAATAAATGAATATTAGACTAGTAGCAAATTAGACTAGTCTTGTCAATGTATGGGAAACACTGCATGCCCACACCCCTATTGCTCCAAAGTTCTCTTTTTAGAGATTCAGTAATGCTTATGGCTTTCGGTGTGTGTCTCTTCCCTTCCACTCACACACATACTATCACCAGTAATTTTCCTGCAGTGTGATACCACCGATGGCAAAGGTTACACAGATGTGTTGCATGTAAAACTCTCTTTCACCATGCTCGCTCTGGGCACCATCACCCTCGGTGTTGCTTCATTAATGTTGAATGGGAATGAAAATGTATGATTTCTGATCATGAATTATAAACCTCCCCTCGGCTTCTTTTCTCCTGCTGGTCTCAACTGAGGAGAACCTCTCCATCTCACTGACAGAGCTTTCAGCTAGGCCGATTAATAATCAGATCAGATGGAAAGAAGGAGAAGGAGCCGCACATCAGATGAGAGACCAAGCTTTCATCCCTTGCCATCACCTTCACGCTCTGTTTGTCTTTTTAATGCGTCACCTCAAGGCCTCAGTTCTTTGAAGAGTGCAGCTGTACTCGTTTCACATGGATGGTGCTTTGGGGACCACTTGGATGTCTGTCCATGTTATTAATCCTGAATTTCAAATGTCCTCATGTTCCTCTCAAAACTCTACTGCATGTTTACATTGTAAGTTGGATTGTATTTGTGCAGTGTTTATGTCTGTGCCCTAGCGATAACCCTACCTGGAGACATTATGTTTTAGAGTTGTCCATCCTTCCTTTCCATTCTAGAGAACGCATTATCTCTCTATATTCTTCAAATATAGCACAAACGTCCACTTGTACTCAAGGACAAACTGATTAAAGTGTTGAAAGGTCAAGGTCACTGTGGCCTCACATGTTTTTGCCATAACTAAACAATTCATCCACCACGTTGACAAATTTCCACACAAATGTCTAATAGAATAAGATGACTAAATTATGACATTTCAAATGAAAAAGGTCAAACAGCACTGTAACATAATGTTTTCTGGACATAATTCCCCGCCATAACTGAGGAACAGGAGAGACATTTGGTCAGATACTGAATTGGTGACACTAAAGCCCCGTTCTCACCAAGCGCTTTCGGTATGGTACCTTTGGACCCAAAAGTAACCTTTCAGACATGATACCCAGACCCTCGGTCCATTTAGGGTTTCCACCGCAAACAGTACTTTTAAATGTGGACGGAGTTGTTGTCACTCAGTGCTCCATCCAGCATTTACCATGTATCGTTTATGTGTCATATGCCGTAACCATTCAGCACCAAGACACTCCAAGATTAGCTATGTTTGAAGGTAAATAGTCCACACAAGAGCAACATTTAAGAATGTTTGGGACAACGTGTGAATGGAAAGGTCATAAAATGGCAGCTGAAAAATACAAAATGTTTCCACTGTTACCTGTACCATCCATAAAGTAGAGCCACAGTGCTAAAAATAAGGGAGAGAGCACTGAGGAAGCATCAGAAAGTGGTGTGGATGTCAGTCCCCCCAGCTGATTTTTCTCTCTTTTTCTGCTATAGCATGCTCATATGATACACTGATGTGGTATATGACCACACATAGCTGTACAGGGCAACATACAGTACAGGCCAAAAGTTTGGACACACCTTCTCATTCAATGCGTTTTCTTTATTTTCATGACTATTTACATTGTAGATTCTCACTGAAGGCATCAAAACTATGAATGAACACATGTGGAGTTATGTACTTAACAAAAAAAGGTGAAATAACTGAAAACATGTTTTATATTCTAGTTTCTTCAAAATAGCCACCCTTTGCTCTGATTACTGCTTTGCACACTCTTGGCATTCTCTCCATGAGCTTCAAGAGGTAGTCACCTGAAATGGTTTTCCAACAGTCTTGAAGGAGTTCCCAGAGGTGTTTAGCACTTGTTGGCCCCTTTGCCTTCACTCTGCGGTCCAGCTCACCCCAAACCATCTCGATTGGGTTCAGGTCCGGTGACTGTGGAGGCCAGGTCATCTGCCGCAGCACTCCATCACTCTCCTTCTTGGTCAAATAGCCCTTACACAGCCTGGAGGTGTGTTTGGGGTCATTGTCCTGTTGAAAAATAAATGATCGTCCAACTAAACACAAACCGGATGGGATGGCATGTCGCTGCAGGATGCTGTGGTAGCCATGCTGGTTCAGTGTGCCTTCAATTTTGAATAAATCCCCAACAGTGTCACCAGCAAAACACCCCCACACCATCACACCTCCTCCTCCATGCTTCACAGTGGGAACCAGGCATGTGGAATCCATCCGTTCACCTTTTCTGCGTCTCACAAAGACACGGCGGTTGGAACCAAAGATCTCAAATTTGGACTCATCAGACCAAAGCACAGATTTCCACTGGTCTGATGTCCATTCCTTGTGTTTCTTGGCCCAAACAAATCTCTTCTGCTTGTTGCCTCTCCTTAGCAGTGGTTTCCTAGCAGCTATTTGACCATGAAGGCCTGATTGGCGCAGTCTCCTCTTAACAGTTGTTCTAGAGATGGGTCTGCTGCTAGAACTCTGTGTGGCATTCATCTGGTCTCTGATCTGAGCTGCTGTTAACTTGCGATTTCTGAGGCTGGTGACTCGGATGAACTTATCCTCAGAAGCAGAGGTGACTCTTGGTCTTCCTTTCCTGGGTCGGTCCTCATGTGTGCCAGTTTCGTTGTAGCGCTTGATGGTTTTTGCGACTCCACTTGGGGACACATTTAAAGTTTTTGCAATTTTCCGGACTGACTGACCTTCATTTCTTAAATTAATGATGGCCACTGGTTTTTCTTTAGTTAGCTGATTGGTTCTTGCCATAATATGAATTTTAACAGTTGTCCAATAGGGCTGTCGGCTGTGTATTAACCTGACTTCTGCACAACACAACTGATGGTCCCAACCCCATTGATAAAGCAAGAAATTCCACTAATTAACCCTGATAAGGCACACCTGTGAAGTGGAAACCATTTCAGGTGACTACCTCTTGAAGCTCATGGAGAGAATGCCAAGAGTGTGCAAAGCAGTAATCAGAGCAAAGGGTGGCTATTTTGAAGAAACTAGAATATAAAACATGTTTTCAGTTATTTCACCTTTTTTTGTTAAGTACATAACTCCACATGTGTTCATTCATAGTTTTGATGCCTTCAGTGAGAATCTACAATGTAAATAGTCATGAAAATAAAGAAAACGCATTGAATGAGAAGGTGTGTCCAAACTTTTGGCCTGTACTGTATGTGTAGCACATACTAAGCAACAATTGATCCTGTGCGATGAGTGTGTGAGACAGAGCCGCTTGTGTTTGGAGCGATTGGATAGCTTATCGCTATTCTACTTGGTAGTTGTAATCTATTGTGCGATTAAAAAAAAATCACATACCCATACATCTTTGTCACCACAGCAAAAAAAAAAAAAAATTATTTACTGGGTGTAACTTCAGTTCTATGAATATGAAAACTGGATGCGAGGAACATAACTGGTGACCACATTAAAATCAGCTTGTTGACCATCCACACATGATGCTCTGTGTTTTAGTCACTATTAGAAAAATGTTGTGTCTTGCATTGTTTATATTGTGCATTGTGATAAAAAAAATTTGAATTCCTCTCTGTCCTCTTTCACAGTGCTGAAATGTCAGTCTCTGTTGTCGGAGCATAGAAACCTGGCTATCCATTTCCACCTGGAGTGTGTCTACATCAATCTCACCTACTATGAATACCAGCCAGCCAAGGAACACATCAAGAAGGCCCAGGAGCTCTCAGGGCTCACTATCAACATGACAGGTACGTAAAGTAATGCATCATTTGGTGTTGGAGGATACTTGAGTGACTTATTTAAAATGCATAAGAGTAGGCTGTCAAACCTGGTGATGATCATCCTAAGCCCATATTGATGAAGTCGTAGTGATTCCTTGTTTGAAGGTAACAGCTGATTGTATCTGGTCAATCAAGGTGCTCTTGGAAAACGGACCTATTTCCAGCAGAAGTACTTGGCTCAGCTCATCCTTGAGGTCAAGAGAAAGCAGGAGCAGCCTGGCCAGACAGATGAGGCCACTCCCACCCCCACACCTCAGGCCAGCCTGCCAAAGGTATTAGCTTCTGTTGCTTCTTTCCAACTTGGTGTTTTTTGACACCTCATTTTCCAGTTTGTTGTACAGATGACTGACTGTCAAGCTCTACTTCAACAAACCTTCACTCATGTATTTAGACACATTTATTTAGACCTGGCTGCACGGTGGTGCAGTGGTTAGCACTGTCACCTCACAGCAAGAGGGTTCTGGGTTTAAACTGGCTGGCCGGTTGGCAGGGGCCCTCCTAGTGGGGGAGAACAGGCATGCTCCCAGTGGGCTTTCTGTGGCTTCCTCCCACAGTCCAAAGACATTTAGGTTAGGTTAATTGGTGAATTGCCTGTAGGTGTGAAGGTGAGCATGAACAGTTGTCTCTCGCTATCAGTATGTTTACATGACATTAGAGAAAATGGATTTATCGATCTTGTTTGTCGATTGTTTGGTCTGTGACCTAATGGGTCAGCCGGAAAAAGGTCTAGTGCTAACAAGCTGAAAGGGGGCATATTGCCATCTATCATAGCAGAGTTGGATGGCCCAGATGTGGAAGGGGTACAGTTCTGTAGGCATGCTGCACTTTTGCATACACTCTGTCGACTGTATTATTCCCTCTGGTGGCACATTTCACGTATTGGGTGAAACTGGGAAGTACAGTCTTTAAGCATGCTTGACTGAAGTCTTCAGCTATGATGTAAACCAAGGGCTAGTGCTGTGCTAGTGTTAGCATCTGGTGGTATATAGACAGCTATAATGATTAGTACTGTCAGCTCTCAGCAGATAGATGGGTACACACATAACTAACAGAGCCTCAGCCAGTGGCTGTCAATGATTCGGCTGTTTGTACACCAGCCTTTATGCACATAAATACAGAGTCCTCCTCCTTCACTCTTACCAGAGTTTTTGTTACGGTCCAGGTGGTGTATTGTACAGCCGCATGGCAGTGTCAGGGGTCAGTGGGTGAATCCAGTTTTCCGTTATTAACATCACACAGCAGTCCAGAGGCTGTTGTTGGCTACCATTTATAACTCCAGTTTGTCTGTTTTTTGAATGATGGATCTAGCGTTAGAGAGAAAGATGCTTGGTAGCGGTGGTTTGTGTGGCTACATCTTTAGCCTAGCCTGTAGGCCCACCTGGCATCCCTGCTTCTGCTTCCTCTCTCTCTGCGCCATCTACGTCACCTTTCAGAGCTGACAACATCCACGGTGACCTGAGGGTTCTCGAGATTTCCCCTGGTATGTTGTGTGTCTTTTGACACCTGTGACAATGGTAGCGTGCTGTAATCCAAGCTTGATTAAGTCTGGACGTAAATTTGGAACTGTGAGAGGCAACAGAATTATCAGTAGCTTTAATCTCTGCTTGAGCTTTTAACTCCATCTCCTTGAGCTCTCGCTCATGTGCAAGTTTAATTTTTTTGTGTTCTAGCTCATGCTGCCTGAGCTGCTGCCTTTCCTTTGCCTCAATCTCTAATTCTATCTTCCTCAACTGCAGCTTTAATTCTAGGTCCCTCACTCTGTTGCATCTCACCCTCCTCCTGTTATCCCTCAGAGAATGCAAAATCTTGCTGATTGGGCAACTCAGGTTTTTCAGAAAAAACACACTGCTTGTACGCAATTCCGCTTTTCTTAAATTGCCTTGAACATCAATATCATAGTTTTCTGCTACAGAACGAAGATCTTTTTTGTGCAGCCTAAGAGTTGCTGAGTGTCAGGGTCCTTAACAAACCTGTCCAGCTCAAATGCCATGATGGCACACACAAAAATGGATACTACTAGTACTACTACTCAATGAGCAACAAGATAGTAGCATACCCAGACATTTCACTCTGGCCTGCTAACCATGAAATGGCATCTTCTATCATTTTGAATGCCACCATACCACAAAAGGTCACCATTGAGACTAACCTGACAAAGGGTCTCCCAAAAGCTGTATAAATCGTGACTACAAGCCACAAACAAATTACAGCCAGCAAACACAAACATTTTTTAAAAAAACTGTCGCACACTAAAGTACAGTCAGTATTGAATACCCTCCAAAGTACCACACAACGTGCAGACTGCAAAAGCAGAACTACACAATAAACAACTCACACTATCAAAAGTGAGTACAAGCCACAATGGCTGCTAAATTAGTAGCCACACACAAAAGGTACAAGGGCTAATCAACAAGAACAGTTTTTTTTAATGCTCAACCCAAACCCCAAATATCTAACTACAACTAGTTCACACACAAAGCAGGCCTCACAGAGGCCATCATGGGCAGCCACATGCTACTCTTAAAACAGGATTTTTAGCATGTCTAATCTCCTAGTCTAGAACTAACCCAGTTCCCTTTCTACCTGTGGGGGTTGCTACTTTACTTCACCTAAGTATCTTCAGTGATGCACCCGGGCACGCCAGGGGCCACCCCAGGGCTATCACACAAAATAATAAAGTGGTGCTGGTCTCTCCAGCACCTGCCGGCTCACTCAACTGGGAAAGTTCAAAAACTACCTCATGTGGTTACACATAGATGACCTCACTAACTAAAAACTAAAGATCTAGGTTTGAAAGGATCCCGGACGAGCCCCCATTATTATGTTACGGCTGGCTCAACACCGAACATAACAATGGACACAACACAAGGAGAGGAGTTTTCTGCATTTAAGTTTATTGAAATAAGTTGATGGTTTGAAAAGAAAAACAGATACCTGGCACCACAAAGGTGCTGCTGCAGCTGGGTGGAGAGAGAGAACTGAACCAAAGGCCGGCCTAAATAGACTCAGCCTCCTAGTCAGCACAGGTGTGTGTCAATCAGGTGATCAACCTAGAGGGATCAACAACAGTATCAACAGGAAACACCAAAATACAACAGGATGTAAACCCTGAATGTAACAGCAACTAAAGACATACTTTGCTTGACAGAACTCGACAAACAAATACAGCATACACACAATAGGGCACCAAACTGGAGAGTGAAGAGCCACTGCACAAACATGTGTCGCCATCTTGTTATATCAATATATGTAATATCAATTAAATAAATTAAATTGTCCTTCATGGCTCTCTTCCTCCTAAATGTCTCTCTCCCCAGGTTGGATAAATTGGTGTGTGCTTATTATTCCTTATCTGGCAACTTTCTGCAAGTTGTGATGATTGGCTCAAAGGTTTTGGAGTTAGGTCTATTTATATCCTCGTATAGTAGTTACACAATGAACAGTCCACAAGCTTTATGCAAGTTGTGATAAGCTTGGTTAAAATGATTCTCAGAAAATTTGGTACAAATCGGACGTACAGTTTAGGAGACGTCAAGTTAGTGTGACACAGTGTCACTTTATAAGTCACCAATTCCACTGTAAACTCTGTTTTCTTGAGCATCCCTGCTAATTGCTGGTATTTAAACATTGTTGCAGAGTACCACTTGAAGACACATTACTTCATCATTACGATTGATGATTACTGAATTTTTCAGATTTATCTGCCACTTGAATTCTGAACTTTTTATTTAAGAGAGTATGAACATTTCAGAGAGTGTGTTATATTGGCTGGTATGGGGACTTGCAAACTAATGTACAGTAGTCACACTGTAGTCTTAACCATTACTTCAAATAACTTTAAGGACTGAAATCTGTTTTATGATCTGTGATTTCTTGGAAGCTGAAGGTGATTTGTATTTGATGATGTATGGCTGACAAGATATCCGATATCTGTTGTGACTTGACAAGACAAACCACTCTTTAAGGGGATAGGAGGGATAACTGGCCGGCATAAAAACCTTCAAACCAACGTAATATAAAGGTTTGATTAAAAAATTACTGTCTATAAACCCGACTCTAAAGATAGAGCTACTGTTGGTACCCTATGACTAACAACAGGGGCAAATAATTTGTAATACCCAGCATCATCAGCAGAGGGAGACGTCCACCTCTGGGCCCTTAATACCGTCTGAAGCCTGTTGCTACTGTTCACCCAACGATGTTCCCATGCACTGCACTGCACCCTCTATCTAAAATGTTTAAAAGATTAGGCAAACTATAAAAGCTGTCTGTTGCTATTTCGCAAAAATGAAGCCAAAGTACGTCACACTGACATGTGGCTCATACATTTACATTCAGAAAAACAAAACAAAACAAAAAAGTAACTGTGCAGTTGCTATTGATTTTTTTCTAATTCTATGGAAATGTGTCATTTGGTCTTGTGGAGAAAAAAACAGAAACGCATGCATAATACATGTTATTATTTAAATAATAAATCCCTAGTTCTGTTCTTAAGTTAAAATAGATAATGATAAAAGCTGAAAACAGAGATGTACTAAAATGTTTACACAGCCACGTAATAATGAATCAGTGTTAAAGTGATATTATAACATGACCAAAAAGGTGAAGGCAGGATTTATTACCTACTGTTCTCACAATCCAAAGTTTACATCTATGAACAAGCTTCACAGTATGAACAATTAATTATGACATATGCATATACATGTAAACAGCCAAATGTATAAGACATTGGGGCGGCAGTAGCTCAGTCCATAGGGACTTGGGTTGGGAACCGGAGGGTCGTCTGTTCGAGTCCCTGTCCAGGACCAAAAATATGGAGCGTGGACTGGTGGCTGGAGAGGTGCCAGTTCACCTCTTCGGCACTGCCAAGGTGCCCTTGAGCAAGGCACCGAACCCCCCAACCGCTCGGGGCGCCTCACCAAGGGGCAGCCCCCTCACTCTGACATCTCTCCACGTTGTGCATGTATAGGTCCTGTTTGCGCATGTGTGTGTCTTTCGGACCTGTGTGTAATTGACAAGCAAGAGTGAAAACATTGAATTTCTCCTCAGGGGGATTAATAAAGGAAATAAACTTAAACTTAACTTGTCATTGTAAGCATTCAGAGAAATTATGTTTGGAAACTTTGAGTGACCAGCAGCAAAAAAAAACAACAAAAAAACCCCAAGATAACAAAATATAATAAATCACAGTAGAGCCGCTGCTACTTCACGTTGAAGGGAGGCAGTTGAGTTGGTCAGGAAATCTCATAAGGATATCTCCTGGGTACTCCCT